AACCCCTCCGTCTTCCCCACTGAGTACCTGGCCTCGGGCTGGGGCCTTCCCAGACCTGGAATCCTCAGCCAATCTGGTTACCAAGTTCTCATTCAGATCGAGAGGCCACCTTCTGCAGTTCCTGGCACCCAGAGTCCAGGCCTGCCCCAGCTCTTCTCGGCAGCATTGGGGAAGGGGCCAGGAGGAGCAGAGGGTCTGATGGAAAAGAGCTCCATTGAGGTTACACACACAGGTCCTGAGTTTGAATTCTACCCCTGGTCATCCTCACTGTGCTGCCTCTGCCAGTCATTTCTTCTGTGGGTCTCAGGTCCATTTGTAAAATGAGCATAAAAACATTTGCCCTGCTCACTTCCCAGGTCTGTCAGGGACAAAACTCTTTGTAATCCATGTCCTTGGAACATATGGCCCAGTGGAGAGAGCTCTGGGTCTGGGGTCAAATGATATAGTGGAGAAACTGCTGGTTCTGGAGTCAGGACTTGGGTTCAAATCCTACCACTGATGAATAGTCCCTGGGTGGTCTTTGACAAGTCACTTTGCCTCAGTTTCCTCAGCTGTAAAATGGTGTATGTGAGGGGAGGGGGGAGGCTGTGGTTGATTAGAAGATCTCTGAGGTCCCTTCCAGCTCTAATCTAAGCTCTGGGTTCAAATCTAGCTATGTGACCTCTCCAAACCTCAGTTTACCTAATAAGTGGAGCTAATAATTGCTGTAGGCCCAGCGCCTCAGGGTTGTTGGGATCTCGAGTGAGAGCATGCCTGAAAAATGCTTGGTAAACTTTGAAGCACTATAGAAACAGAAGTTTATTATTATTATTATTATTATTATTATTATTATTATTATTATTATTATTATTATTCCTAAGCCCATAATTTTTCAGGTGGTGAATCTGAGGCTGGGGCAGTCATTCAGAGAGGCCGCATTCAAATTTGCCTCCAATCCCTCTGCCCCTTCCACTGTACCCAGTTGTGGTCTGAGCTAAGCAGACCCCAGCCCTGTCCCTCTATTCCAGACCTGACTCCAATTCTCTCCCCCTCCTCTGTACCTGTACTTAGGTGCTGAAGGAGTCCCAGGCTGCAGACTTTCGGGAGCAGCTAGGAGAGAGTGCTCCTGGAAGGGTATGTGCAGTTCCCAGCATGGAGGGCTTCCCTGGTCCAAAGCCCCCATGGGCCACTTCGGTCCCTAGGGGAACTGGAGGCGAGGCCCTTGCCGGATCAGCAGCCCCAGGCCAGGCCCTGGCCTTGGCCTGCTTTTCATCAGCTGAAGGCTCAGGGCAGGAAAGGAGGGGCTCTGCCTGCCCTGGAAGATGCACAGAATGGTATCTGGCTCTCCGTGACACCCACTCTGGTATCACGGTCCTTCCCTGCCTTAGAAGGGAAACTCCTTGAGGTCAGGGTCCCTCCCTGCTGTGTCTGTCTGTTTCCGTAGATCTGAACACAGACCCACGAGCATAGGAGATTAACAAAGCCTTGCTAGTTGTACTGAATGAGAGCCTATACCAGACTGAGTGCATGGACCAGAGCAGACAGCAGCTGGGCTGGGAGTCAGGGGTACAAATCCCACCCGGGCAATTCTCTAGGTCTCCATTAGCTCATCGGTAAATGAGGGGGTTGGACTTCTTGGCCTCTGAGGAGGCCTCTGAGCTCTAAATCTGAAGCCTTTCCTAACCCCTCTTAATTCCAGGGCTTTCCTGTTTATCCAGTAGATAGCTTGCTTTGTCTATATTGTGTTGTCTCTTCCATTAGATTGTAAGCTCCTTGAAGGCAGGGACTGTCTTTTGCCTTTTTTTGCTTCAGGGCTTAGCACATTGTTGTTCTTCAGTTGTTTCAGTTGTGTCTGACTCTTTGTGACCCCATTTTGGGGTTTTCTTGGCAAAGATCCTGGAGTGGTTTGCCATTTCCTTCTCCAGCTTATTTTACATATGAGGAAACTGAGGCAAACAGGGTTAAGTGACTTGTCCTGAGTCACACAGCTATTAAGTATCTGGGGCTGGATTTGAACTCAGGTCTTCCTGACTCCATGCCTGGCGCTCTATTCGCTATGCCACCTAGCGCGTCATAGGCACTTAATAAATGTTTATTAAATTGAGTTGAATAGGCATGGGAAGAAGGCTAACACTTCGGGATCCAGTATGGGAGAGGCAGAGGTGACTCCTGGTTGGGCTTCCGGGGAAGAAACCTCTGGGGGGAGGGAGAATTTCCTTCACCTTGGGGCCCACAATGGGCTCCTGGAAGAGCTGAGACAGCCCCCTGTTCTCTGGGTCCTCCGCCCTCCATAGTGAGAACAGCTTCCATTTCTCTTTTTTTTCTTTTTTAAATTGTTTAAATTTTTTTATTTTATTAATTTATTTTGATTTATCAACAATCACTTCCATATGCTTTTGAGTTGAAAATTTTTCTCCCCCTTCCTCCCTCCCACCCTCCTCAAGATGGTGCACAATCTGATATGGGCTTTACATTTACATTCCTATTAAACATATTTTTGCATTAGTGAAGTTGTAAGTACAAATTAAAACCGATAGGAGGAACCATCAGAAAGATGAAACAAAACTCAACAGAAGGTAAAAATAAGTGATAGCGATTCGACTTCCATAGTTCTTTCTTTGGATGTGGACAGCATTTTCCATCCTGAGGCCTCTGGAGATGTCTTAGATCCTTGTAATGCTGAGAAGGGTTCAGTTTAACAATATTAGTCATCACATAACCTGGCTGTTTTTGTGTACAAAGTCCCCTTGGTTCTGCTCATCACTCAGCATATAAGTCTTTCCAGGTTTTTCTGAAGTCAGCCTGTTCATCATTTCTTATAGCACAATAGTATTCTGTTACATTCATATACCACAACTTGCTCAGCCATTCCCCAGTGGATGGGCATCCTCTCAATTGCCAGTTCTTTGCCACCACAAAAAGAGCTGCTATGAATATTTTTGTACATGTGGGTCCTTTTCCCATTTGTTTGATCTCTTTGGGATATAGCCCTAGAAGGGCTATTGCTGGATCAAAGGGTATGCAAATTTTTATAGCCCTTTGGGCATAGTTCCAAATTGTTCTCCAAAATGGTTGGATCATTTCACAACTCCACCAACAATGTATTAGTGTTCCAATTTTCCCACATCTTCTCCAACATTTATCATTTTCCTGTTTTGTCATGTTGGCCAATCTGATAGGTGTGAGGTGGTACCTCAGAGTTGTTTTGATTTGCATTTCTCTAATCGATAATGATTTAGAGCATTTTTTCATATGACTATAGATGGCTTTAATTTCTTCATCTGAGAACTGTCTGTTCATATCCTTTGACCATTTATCAATTGGGGAATGGCTTGTGTTCTTATAAATTTGTCTTAATTCTCTATATATTTTAGAAATGAGGCCTTTATCAGAGAGACTGGTTGTAAAAATTCTTTCCCAATTTTCTACCTTCCTTCTAATCTTAGTTGCATTGGCTTTGTTTGTGCAAAAACTTTTCAATTTAATGTAATCAAAATGATCCATTTTGCTTTTCATAATGTTCTCTTTCTCCTGTTTGATCATGAATTCTTCTGTTCTCCATAGATCTGATAGGTAAACTATTCCTTGTTCTCCCAGTTTACTCATGGTATCAGCCTTTATATCTGAGTCATGAACCCATTTGACTTTATTTTGGTATATGGTGTGAGATTTGGGTCTATGCCTAGTTTCTGCCATACTCTTTTCCAGTTTTCCCAGCAGTTTTTTTCAAAGAGTGGGTTCTTATCCCAGAAGCTGGGGTCTTTGGGTTTATCAAATAATAGATTACTGTAGTCATTGACTACTGTGTCTTGCATATTTAACCTATTCCACTGATCCACCTCCCTATTTCTTAGCCAGTACCAAGCAGTTTTGAGGGTTGAACAGCTTCCATTTCTCAAGGATATTAGGGCTAATAAAGGACTTCCTTCCCACCAGCCCTATTATGCAGATGAGTAAATGGAAGCCAGGGCAGTTAGGTAACACAGTGGATAGAGTGCCTGGAGTCAGGAAGACCTGAGTTCAAATCTGTCCTCAGACACTAGCTGTATGACCCTGGGCAAGGTCACTTAACCCTGTTTGCCTCAGTTTCCTCATCTGTAAAATAAGCTGGAGAGGGAAGTGGCAAACTGCTCTAGTAGCTCTGGCAAGAAAACCCCAAACGAGGTCCCAAAGAGTCAGACGTGACTGAAATGACTCACCACCACCACCAAAATGGCAGCCTGGAGGGGAAGGGAAGTGAACTGCCCAAAGTCACACAGCAAGGTAGAGCTAAAGCCAGTGGTGGCTATCTCATATTCTTATCCACATTTCCATAAAAAAATGAGATTCAGAGAAGTGAAGAGATTGGTCTGAGGTTCCAAGCCTGTGAATAAGAGACAAGATTAGAACCCAGGACACTCCTGATTCCGTGGCATCATAGAGCTAGAGTAAGAAAGCATTGAGTCTTGCCCTTCCTCCTACAGATGGGGAAAATGAGGCCCAGGGAAGCTAATTGCCTTGCCCAAACATGTGTCCCATTCTGGCAACCATCCCACCGAGTTTGCTGAAAGCACGAATGAATGTTTGTTGAATCTAATTGTTTTACAAAGAAGAAAACTGAAGTTGAAGAGGGCATGTGGCATGTCTATCCACTGGACCCTCCCCAACACCCTGCTGGGGAGGGAGGCAGGGCAGGGTTCCGTTTGGCTCAGAAGGGAAAGGACCTGCCTGAGCTCCAGGGGGTCATCAGTGGCAGCCTGCAGACAGGAAGGGCAAACTGGGGGACCCCAGGGGCCTGCACTGCACTCTCCTGTAATATCCCGCTGACATCGTCATCATCCTCATCCTCTCCATCACTCCCGTTTCAGATTTCCAGAGCTCCCTTCATACCACAGCCCAGAGAAGCTGGTAGCACCAACATGTTTGTCCCCATTTGGCAAGGGAGGAAACTGGTTTATTGAATGACTCAATGAATGAATCTTTGCTTCCATCCATCCTGCAGGTAGTCCAATTCTAAAAAGTTATGCTCCTTTCTCCCTCAGCTCCCCAACTTCATCAACACCACGCTGCCCCCACACGAGCAGGCCACGGCCCAGGAGATTGACAGCTACTTCCGCCAGGAGCTCATTTACAAGCGAAACGAGAGGATGGCTCGGCGGGTCATGGCGCTGCTTCGAGAGAATGGGGACAAGAGTTTCTTCTTTGCCTTCGGTGCAGGTAGAGAGCGGGAAATGAATTCTGGGGCCGAGTCGAGAGGGATTATGTGTGGAATTCATTCCATCTCCTCAGTAGATGAGAGACGGTTATAATAACATTTATCTATCTCCTTCAGAGTGAGGAGGGGGTTGTGATAACAGTGACAAGAGGCATTAAGAAACACATCCCCATGATCATTACTGTCTGTCGACCGAAGGACAGTGGGTCAGTGGGTCAGTCAACAAACATTGGTGGGAAATGCTGCTCTTGGTGTAGAAAATTTATGTGTCCTCCTCTCCCCTTGGAGAAGGAAAGAACTTTGTGCCAAGACTCATTGATTCTGCCTTTGAGGTCATCTCTGTCATCCAGCATCCTTTTCCTTCGCACAGCCACCATGACTGTGGTCCAGACCCTCATTGTGTCTCCCCTGGGCTATTACAATAACCTCCTAAGTGGTCTCTACTCCATTCTTCACACCCCTGTCAGGCCTTTAGTTTTTATCTGACCATGTCACTCCCCTGCCCTGTTCTCTCTTGACTCCAGACTTCTCTATTGGGCATTTAAAACTCTTCCCAAACTGGCATCATCCCATTTCTCTAGTTTGATTCCCTCTGGATGCCCTCTGTCCAGCTGGACGGGGTCCTTCCCAACCCCTAGGACCCAGGACTAAAGACAGTGTTCCAGATATGGCTTGCCCAGGGCACAGTTAGTCAGTACATATTTATGAAATGCCTACTATGTGCCAAGCACTGAGCCAAGTGCCAGAAATACAAAAAGAAGCAAAAGACAGTCTCTGCCCTCAAGGAGCTCACAACTGAATGGGGGAAGCAACCAGCATCAAATACATACAAACAAGCTATGCAGGAAATAAGACAGGGAAGGCCCCCAGAAGGGGGGGCGATCTATCACCTGCTTCTTCCTGGAAGCCATGCACCTCTCCTAACGTGGCCCAAGATCTCTTGGTAACCACAGGGAGGAAGGAGATGAGGCATGAACCAGGTCTTACAGGCTACGGGAAGGGCTGGCAGGTGATGAGGACTCGTCTGAGAACTGGCTGTGGCTTGGGAGGGGCTCCGGCACCTGCTGGAAATGCATTCCAGCATCTGGCCTGAGGCTGACTTTCTAACCACATCCCAGGAGCAGCTTCCCCTGGGATTGAACATTTCCTGAAGAGCCAGACCACAGGATGGTGCCCAAGGCTAGGGGTGGGGAGGAGGGGACAGCAGAGGGGATCCTGCCCCCAGACCCACCCCCTCTCCCACCTTCAGCCTGGAGAAGAGATAATTCATAGTAGATACACTCATAGCCTTCAGATATTTGAAGGGAGGAGAGATTAGCCTTGCTCTGCTTGGCTCCACAAGGTAGAACCCAGAGGAGCCATGGGAGGAAGCTGCAGGAGGTATGTAAGGAAGAGCTTTGTAACATCAGAACTATTTGGAAAGGGAAAAAAGTAGATCTGATAAGGAGTGAGCTCTCCATCACTGGACAGCTTCAAATGGAGTCAGTCAGAAATGTTTTAGAGGTGCCCTGATTCAGATACAGATGGGGCTCATCCAAGAATTTCAGGACCCTCTGACACCTCATTTCTCTTGCTGGCCTCACCACATTCTATCTCTCAGACCATCGTCCAAAGAATGCTCTCTGGCTGTCCTCTCCCTCCAATCCATTGCCACATGCCATGTTTTTTTTTTTTCTCAGCTCCATCTTCTTTCTGGATATCTCTGGATATCTGTGGTCCAAGTGAATCCAAGGTATCTCCTACTCACCCTGCAGCTGCTCCCCGAGGGTTTACCAAAGTGGGATGGCATTCTTCCTTCTCCCACCAATTCATTTTGATTGGACAAAGATGGATTAAATGCATATGGCAGAGAGCACCCTGTCCTGGGCTGTGGGGGAGACCCAGAGTTTAGAGTCCCTCCACGCTGTGGCCTCTCAGATCTCATCACTTGGGAGTATGAGGAAATCCAATAACCAGTAATGGTGGTGTGCAGTGTCAGGATATAGATGCCTGAGGGGCAGCTAGGTGGCACAGTGGATGGAGCACCGGCCCTGAAGTCAGGAGGACCTGAGTTCAAATACGGCCTCAGACCCAACACTTGACACTTACTAGCTGTGTGACCTTGGGCAAGTCACTTAACCCCAATTGCCTAAAAGCCAAAAAAAAAAAGGATATAGATGCCTGAGACCAGGCCCAGAGCAGTGCCTGGGGAAGGCAGAAGGACATTCCTGCCTTGGGGAAAGGGTGGTGTCCAGGAAGGCTTCCTAGCTGAGGGGAGATTTGAGCTGGATTTTAAATGGGAATGGGAATTCATTTGTTGAAGAGGATAAGGAGGACATTTCAGGGAAAATACTGAGCAAAGTCATGGAACCTGGGAAATATCAGGCCTGAAGGGGTGTGAGGGTGGGATGGGAGTGGGAGAAGGATCATAGGAACGTAGATTTAGAACTGGAAAGGGATTCTAGAACTGGACATCATTGAGTCCAATTGACTCATTTTGCAAGTGGAGAAACTGAGGCCCAGAGAGTGACTTGCCCAGCATCACACAGTAAGCAAATGTCTCTAAGGTGAGATATGAATCCAAGTCTTTCCAACTCCAGGCCCAGTGTTCTATCCACAACAGTACAAGGGTCATTCAGAAGGAAACTAGGGTTGTTCAGGTTGGTTGAGGCCTAGAGGGGAACCTTGGGAGATAATACCAGAAAGTGGGGTTGATAGTAGATTGTAAAGGGCATTCAATGTCAAGGCAAGCAACGTCAGCTTTACTTGGTTGACAAGAGGGAGCCCCTGGAGGTGCTGAGCAGAGGTTCACCATGGCCGGATCTATTCAGGAAGAGGAATCTGTAGCAGGTCAAGATTAGATCAGAGAGAGAAGTGAGTAGAGGGTTTGGGGCTTATTGGGATTGGAGATGCTGCTGCACTTTCTGGTTGGAGGGGTCCTTCGTGGAGCTGGAGGTGCAGGGCTGCAGCTCAGAGGTGAGGTCAGAGCTGGACATGCAGATGTGGGAGTGGTCTGCCTGGGAGAGTGGGCAGAGCAGGCTTTGAATCCTGCCTCTGACACTAGCAGTGAGACCAGTTGTGGACAAGCCCCTCCCTATAGCCCCTACTAAGCCTCAGCTTCCTGCTCTGTGAAATGGGCATGATAATACTTTGAACCCCTCCTTACAGGGTTCTTGACTATCCAGGGAAGTAAAGTGCTTTGTAAACTTTAAAGTACTTTCAAAATGCATTGGCTCAAGAAGCTTTGATTAGGTACGTGCTGTTTGCTTGGTGCTGAGCCAGGGGCTGCAAATGCAAACATCTCAGGAAGCACCAACTGTAGCAGCCACGTGTGAAACCACACAGGCCTGCCTCAGTTTCTATACCTGTAAAAGCAGGGGTTTGGACTACTTGGCCTCTGAGACTCCTTCCAGCTCTAAACACTGATCAACAAATACACGGAATGTGAGTTGACTTTTTTGTTTGTTTGTTTTCGGTTTTTTGCTGGGCAGTGGGGTTAAGTGACTTGCCCAGGGTCACACAGTCAGTAAGTGCCAAGTGTCTGAGGCCAGATTTGAACTCAGGTCCTCCTGACTGCAGGGCCAGTGCTTTATCCACTGCGCCCCCTAGCTGCCCCTAGGAGCTCATATTCTAATTGCAGGAGGCTGCACATATAGGGAGAAAAGCAATCGATTTCTGTGGGCCTCACTTTCCCCATCTGTAAAACAAGGAGATGTGGTTAGGTGACTTCTACAGCCCTCAGGGTTAGAATGAGGAGCCCACTGTCTTAATCCAAGAAGAATCTGAATGATAACTCCTGGTGAGGAAATGACCCTTAATGACGCATAGTAGCTGGTCATCCGTCCTTCCTGAGTCCGGGGAGATAAGTTCAGTTGTTGCTGGGATGTGGCCTCTCTCTCCTGGCCTCAGTGTGGCCTCAGTCTGGCTCCGGTGTTGTTTGCACCGCGCGCCACCCCCCCCCCCGGGGTCCGATCAGGCCCCCCAGACACTTGGGGTTTATCTGGAAAGCTTCATCTTCTAACCTTGACCCTGACTGGGATGGAGCGGATGCTGGCTGGCCCCAGGGGGACCTTGGGAAGGCCGCTATGTGCTAGGAGGCCCTGGGAATTTGTCAAGTGTTTTATGGGCACCTTGTCCGAGGCCAGCCCAGACCCGGGCTGTTAAAAAGAGTTAATATGTTGGCATGAAGAATATACACATGAAGCCAAGGGTAAGAAACATTCACTCCTGGCTTATTTCGATTTTATGGCCAAGTCATTTCCAAGCCACACTTATGATAACAGATGGATAAATTTATGGGAGCAGTTAATTTGAGGAAAACTTCCCTCATCTCTGAGTCGGGCTCTGGCTGCACTGGATGAGACCTGGCTCCGGCTGAGGTCTGGTTTTGTCTCTCACTTTCCTGGGGCTCTCAGAGACCGCCGTGGTGTCCGACGTCCAAGGCTGATGAAATCAGAGAAAGGGGCTCCAACCCAGGCTTGTGGCCCCCCAGCTCAATGCTCTGGGCTCAGCCTCACACTGAGCCCCATTCTGCAAGTCCAGAGGCGTGGTACAATGAGGGGAAAGCCACCACCACAACTGCTGGGCCGAGAGCTGGAGGCCTGGGTTCAAGTCTCGGCAGCAGCACCTACTAGATGTTTGAGAACAAGCTTCTCTGTAACATGCCCCTGATGTTCCTGGGGCTGCCCTCCAAGGCCAAGCAGATCAAGGCTGACCCCTCCTCCCATACCAATCCTTTGGGTACTTGAGGACAGCTCTCCTGTCCCCCCTGAGCCTTCCCTTTTCCAGGCCAAACAGCCCCAGTGCCTTCCCAGCCCCAGTCTCCTGAGCCTGCTCTGGGGATCCTCCAGATTTCTGTTGGCTTAACCTGACCTTATTCCATTTCTGATCCTGCTCTGCCCTCAGACTTCCTGGGAGGGTTCCTCCAGCCTGGCAAGGGAACCCTGGGGCTGGCCAACAGTTGTGCCTGACAGAGACCTTCCTTATCAAGAGATGCCCTGTGCCCCGTCTCTCCTCACACACC